CAATGGATAGGTCATCCAGATAGAAAACCAACAAGGAAATGTTGGAATTGATCCATCCTTCAGAATAAGTGGACCTAACAGACATACATAGAACATAACATTCAACTACAGCAGAATACACATTTTTCTCAAGTACACACAGAACGTACTCCAGGATAGATTATATGATAGAACACAAAACAAGTCTTAGCAAATTTTAAAAGACTGCAATCATACTAATTATCTTTTCTGACCACAAAGTATGACACTAGAAATCAACAGGAGGAATGCTAAAAAATCTACAAGTCAATGTGTAAAGAACACACTTCTAAACAACCAATGGATCAAAAGGAAATCAAAAGGGAAATAGAAATATCTTGAAATGATAAAAATGGGAAAACGATATATCAAACTAATGGGATGCAGCAAAGCAGTTTTGAAAGGAAAGTTATATTGATAAATACATACATTTAGAAGTTAGAAAGATCTCAAGTAAATAACCTAACTTTACACTTTTTAGGAACTACAGAAAGAACAAATTAAGCTCAAAGGTAGCAGAAGGAAGGGATTAAAAAATATCAGAACAGAAATAAATGAAATAGAAACCAGAAAAACAATAGAAAGGTCAAGGAAACTAAGAGCTGCTTCTTCAAAATGATAAAATTGACAAACCTTTAGCCTAGACTAACTTAAAAAAAGACTCAACTGATACTACAGAAATATGTAGGATCATAAGAGACTTCCCTAAACAATTACATGCCAACAAATTACATAACCTAGAAGAAATAGATACATTTCTAGAACCACACCCCAGCAAGACTGAATCAGGGATAAAAAGAAAATCTGAACAGACCAATAACGAGTAGACTTATTGAATCTGTATTGAAAAACCTCGCAGGACCAGATAGCCTTACTGGAGAGTTCTACCAAACATTTATAGAAGAATTAACACCAATCCTTTTCAAATTCTTCCAAAATTCTGAGTAAGAAATACTTTCAAACCCATTCTACTAGGCCAGCATTACTCTGATACCAAAACCATAAAAGGGCACCAAAAGAAAACTATAGACCAATATCCCTAATAAGTATAGGTGCAAAAATTCTCAACGAAATATTAGCAAACCAAACTTAAGAACACATAAAAAGGATTATACACCTTGATCAAGTGAGATTTACCCCTGGGATGCAAGGATAGCTGCACATACAAATAAATAAATATGTAACATTAATGGGGGGGGGGGGAATCACAATTATATCAATAGATGCAGAAAAAGATTTGACAAAAATATAACATCCTTTTATGATAAAAATCCTCAACAGACTATCTACACTTTAACGTAATAAAGACCATATATGAGAAACTCACAGCTAACATTATACTCAATGGAGAAAAATTGAAATCTTTTCCTCTGATTGGGAACAACACAAGGATGTCCACTCTCAGGACTCTTATTTAATATAATACCGGAAGTCCTTGTTAGAGCAATTAGGCAAGACAAAGAACTAAAAGGTATTCACATTGGAAAGGAAGAAGTAAATTTGTTGCAGTTTGCAGTTGATATGATCTTATATATAGAAAATCCCAGGCTCAACCAAAAAACTGTTGGAACTAATCAGCAATTTCAGAAAAGTTATAGGATATACCATCAACAATACAGAAATCAAGTTATATTTCTTTCAACTACTTATAAAACATCTGATGGGAAAAAAAAAGAAAGTTAGCCTATTCACAACAGCAGCAAAACCAGTAAAATACTTTGGAATAAATTTATCAAAGAAATTGAAAGATCTGTACAACAAAAAAACAAGATTTTGCTGAAAGAAATGGAAGGAAACACAAACAAATGGAAAGATATCCTGTGCTCATGAATCAGAAGAATATTGTTAAAATGCCATACTTCCCAAAGCCATCTACAGATTCAATGCAGTCCCCATCAAAATACAACAAATGCGATCTTCATAGAAATAGAAGAAATAATTGTAATATTCCATACAGAACCAACAAAGACTCCAAGTAGCCAAAGCAATCCTGAGGAAAAAATATAAAGCCAGAGGTATCACACTTCCAGATTTCAAACTATACTATGAAGCATAAAAATATTATGATACTGGCATAGAAATAGACACATAGACCAGTGGGGAAAAAAATAGTCCCAAATTAAACCCTTGAATATACGGTCAGCTAACATTTGACATGTGAGCCAAGAACAGTGTGGATAATCTCAACAAATAGTGTTGAGAAAACTGGATAAACACATGCAGAAGAATGAAACTAACTCCCTCCCCACCCCAATCTTACACTAGTCACAAAAAATTAACTCAAAATGGATCAAAAATTTAAACAACATCTAATACTATAAAACTCCTAGAATAAAACATAGAAAAGAAGGTCCTCAACATTGGTGTTGGTAACTATTTTTTTGGATATGTAACCAAAAGCAAAATTCAACAAATAAGACTATATGAAATTTAAAATCTGCATAGCAAAAGAAACAACAAAATGAAAAGGCAACCTACAGAATAGGATAAGTGGTTAATATCCAAAATATATAGAAAACTCATGCAACTCAAAAATAAAACAATTCAGTTAAAAATGGGGAAAACAAAATAGATCTTTTTTCCCCAAAGAAGACATCAAAGGCCACCAGCTACATGAAAAGATGCTCACCATCACTAATTGTCATCAAAATGCACATTAAAACCACAATGAAATATCACTTCACACCTGGTAGAATGGGTATCATTAATTAAAAAGATGACATGACAAGTCTCGGCAAAGTTATGGAGAAAAGAACCCTTGTGAACTATAGGTGGGAATGTAAATTACTGCAGCTACTACAAAAAACAGTATGAAGTGTCCCAAAAAATGAAAAATGTAACTACCACATGGTGCAACAATTTTATTTTTAATTGTTTATCGAAAGAAAGTGAAACTAATTTAAAAGCCACATGCACTCTCATGTTTATTCCAGCATTATTTACAATAGCCAAGTTACAGAGGCAACCTAAGCGTACACTGATGGATGAAGAAAATGTGATACATGCACACACCGCATAGAATTATTCACCCATGAAAAAGGAGGACATCTTGCTATTTGCAACAGCATAGGTCCACCAACGGGTAGACCTTGAGCACATCGTGTTAAGATAAGTTAGGCACAGAAGACATGTACTTTATGATATGACTTATATGTGGAATCTAAAAAAAGCCAATCTCATAGAAACAGTAAAATGGTGGTTACCAGAAGGTGGAGGTGTTGGGGGACAAGACAAGTGTTTAAGGATACAAACTTACAATGGATGCTCTCTCTATACACTCAATAGAGATCTAATGCACAGTAGGATGAATATAGACAATAATGTTGTACTATAATCAGATTTGCCGAGAGTCTAGAACTTATTCTAACCTCAAAAAGGGAAATTACATAACATAAAAGAGGTGCTAATCATCACTACAATAGCAATTATATTACAATGTATAAATGTATCAAATAAACTTATTGTATACCTTGAATTTATACAATGTTATATGTCAAATATATTCAGTTTTTTAAAAGAAAAAAAAAATAGGCTTCTATTGCATAATCATTAAAAGCAAGTGGTCTTTGCACTCATATAGCCTTGGCTTGAATTCTGGCTCTCGCACTACTTAACACCTTGTCCTAGTTATTTAACATTTGTAAGTTTCATTATTCTAATTTATAGACAATAAAACAGTATCCACTTCACAGCATTGTTATGGGGCTTAGTGAGAGAATTCATGTACAGTGCTTAGGCCAGCCGCCTGCACATAGTTGCTTCTCCTGTTTTCTTCTAGGAGTTTTATAGCATTTGATCTTATATTAAGTCTTTGATTCATTTAATTTTGTTAACTTATTTTCCCCAGAAATAGCAATTGTGCCATTTTCCCCTTGATTATATTAATGGAATTTCAGAAGGTATTTAGCAGATGGAGTCATAACTTTAGTATGTTTTATTTGTCATAGCTACATAAAACTATTTCAAAATGTCATATTTTGAATATTTGCAAAAACATATGTTGGCATAGATAAAATAATCTAAAATTCTATATGAATTTAGTAGATCGGATATGCGTATTTAAATGTGTGCATTAAAATCTGTACATAAATGTAACAAGGGTGTCGTCACCAGAGAAGGGTGGAAGGGGATCCTAGCATGCTCCTTGCTGAGGATCTGCGTCAGGCATGTCGGTCTGCTGCAAAGAACTAAGCAGGAGACATTCCCTACATGCGAACAGGTTGAATGAAACAAGCATTTAATTCTTTTTATAATTAGCAATGCCCTAAGACTGTGGACCCAAGGGAATTTATATCAGTAGATTGTCCAAAATATCTTAAGAATAATGAATCCTTAAAGTCCGCGGACGATCATACTGGTAGGACAAAACATTCATTCTCTTACATTATTCTTTCAGGCCATTACTGCATGACTGAAACTAAAGAATTTAGTAATTACCTAAATTCCAGTGGTTTTCAAACTGTATCATGGGTCTCTAGAAGTTTGAAGGGAGTACACGGTGTATAAGTGTGTTGACTTGGGTAATGGCACTGCACAGGCCTGGGAGTGGCTTTTTCTCCTGTGTACACTAGGCTTCCAACCAATATCGGTTTTCAGTTTCCACAGACAATTTTAATTGCCAATGAAATATATTCTTGTGACTATAACTAGTGCATGTCTTTATGTACAATGTCAAATATCATTATTGGTTTTAAGGGTCCATGTAATTCATATATGCTGTGAAAGTCCTGGAATTTAGAACATTTTAATTAGACCTTCAAAAACTCAAATTAAATTTTAGGTTATAAATTTAAAAAATAAAGACAGATTTAAATACATGATGAATGATAATTTTATGTTAAGAGAATAAATTGTATTTACCTCTGTGTGTATTTGTAATTCAGCTGTCTGGAACAGAACACTATGAACATTATGATCAGATCCAGAAAACTTAATAGATTTTATTTGTATCATTTCTGCTGTTTCCTTGACAACTACTATAGATGCTGCTATCACCATGGGGATGGTTCTTCTAAATGAAGCGGCAACATCCAAAGGAGATGTTGGGAAAAGACGGAGTAAGTCTCTGTTGGTATTTTTGTAATTTTGTTTTAGTCTTAAGATTCATTTAAATCAAATGGTAAATATATAAAAGTCCTTTGTAAACAGAGTTCTAAAGAAATGTTATGGTTTGAGGAAGTTTGGAGTGTGTTTTAATTCTATTTCTTGGATGTCTATGTGCAAATACTTAAAAATATATATCTTCTGAAATGGGATTGGGTGATTTTCTGCGAAACTGCACACACAGGAGAGCTGCCATTTGCCCTTGTCAGGGGTGGTCTCGCCCATCTCTGTTGAAGCTGTCGTCTCTGTGGTAATGTCCACTCTTCAGGGAGAGATGGAAAGTTCTGTGGGGAGAGTCTTAGCGATTTTATTGGCAAATGATATATCCCCTGTGTCACAAAAATCAGGTATGCATTCAAAGACTATCTCAGAGAAATGTTTGCATAGGTTTTATACACTGAAATACAATACTTGCCAGTTACTTCCTAACCTTTTATCAGCATTTTAAAAAGGAGCATATCTTGATCCTACCTTTCCCACAGGGTCTTTGTCTTTTCTAGTGATATTCCAAGATTTACAGTTCCACCAAGTTCCAGCATTATGTTTTTAAGCAAATTAACTATGATGAAACTATTCCTCTCAAGGGGTTGTAGAAAAAAAATTTTTTGTGTAACGTACACATTTTGGTAGGAAAAGCACAAACACATGGGAAAAATCTTCCCTAAGGAGCATATATTAGGAAAGTACAGAGGGCTTTAAATTCAGTATTTCCTGTCACAGACCTTTTTCTAATTAATATGAAGTCCCTATGTGATTTTATGAGTATACCTCTACAAACCTATTAAGATTTTTCTCAATAGGCTTTGCTGTGTGAACCCTTTTAAAAATTCAGTTTATGTGACAAACCTATTAAGATTTTTCTCAATAGGCTTTGCTTTGCTGTGTGAACCCTTTTAAAAACTCAATTTATGTCTGAGGAGCATAGGTGCCTGAAAAAAACTAATAATTTATCAAAAAGTTTAAAACAAAAGACATTTCTTTATGGAATATTAGGATGATATGTAAGTACATCATAGTGATTTCTAAACCTTAGGTATCATAAGTGTTGAAATGTTTTGGGTGTAATATACCATTTAGTTTACCCTCTGATTTTCCATGATGCTATCTACACACTTTTGTAAAGAAACTAAAGAAACCAATGTATTACTTTGTTCAGTTAAGCATTGTTCAGAATATCATTTTGATATATCTTTTGAATAAACAATGTGATGCTCTTGGGATTGACAAATTATGTTCATGAGGACAGTCCTTATGTGATTATATATTTATCATGTCCTGTCATACCAAAGTAAATAATAGTAAGAGATAGATATTAATTTTTTAATCTCACAATGTCCATGATATTGAGTTTATAAAATCACTACTTCCAGCTTCCCTCTTGGTAGATATTTGTGTATACATCACTTCAACCCCCGACCCACTACCAAATTATTTGTGTGTGAGTGAGAGAGGGAGGGAGAGAGGTGGAGAGGGAGGGAGGGAGAGGGAGAGGAGAAATATATTTTTAAGTTATTCTTTTTCAATTCTAGTGTGATTTTTATATTTGATATAATACAACTGCTATGATGATTATTGTCTAGGTCAGAATGCTTTTGTGTCATCATAGCATTTTCTCCTTATAAGTATGCTATCTTAGATGGGCTGTAGTGGTTCATTTAGTAATTACTAACTCCACTACTCACTCGGTTCTTTCCCCTTCCCTATATACAAGTACTTGAATTGCATTATTTTGTTCCACTGCATAGAATCAGGTAAATATATCATTTTACATGATTACATATTTTGAGCCTCATTTCCCATTGTGCATAACCAAATAAGGCTACTAAAAGCAACAAGGAGTGAAAAGAGTGTTTTTGTTTTATTCAGCTTCTGAAAAAAAATATTTTTAAATAGAGGAAAGAAAGAAGTGTTTGATAAAAATACCAGATGTGGGAAGGTATAAAGTAAAACATCGTGTAATTAAGTTAGGTTAATATGCCATATTTAGTGCCAAGTGTCTGGCATATTTGGATATTCTACAATTTTTTAAAAAGGTGTTTTTCATTTTGTGATGTTCAGCACCTTTTTTTCCTTTATTTTCTGCCAATATTCATTTGAAGTTCAACTGTATGAGTGTTGTCTGAAATGAAATGTCACAGAGGCTGCAATTGAATGCTGTTAAGCACTTACGACTTCTAACAATTTGTGCTCAAAACAGAGAAAATGATATTCCTAGAGTTGAATGAAAACTGACACAGATTTCTAGACCGTATTTTGAGAATACAATACTTTATCTACTACTTCCTGATTTCTACGACTATAATTAGGTCTCATTTATATGCTAGAAGAACGTTTAAAAATACATTTATCGTTATAGAAACATAGAGAACTGTTTAATTTTTCTTGTTTTCCTGCCTTAGTATGTTTAATCTTTTTGTATTATAATGATTTTTTAGTTTTTTAAGAATTTCCTGAACTAATAAAAGGATACGAATATAGTACAAATGTTTTAGTCTTAAGAAATATTTAGATATTTTTAAAGAGATAACTCTAATTTCTACTTATTTATAGAACAGATTTAAACAAATTTCTTAAAATATATTTTTATTTTATTTCAAACATCTACGTTTAATTGGCTCAGATTTTTAAGCATTTAAATATTATAAACATTTATATTTATTTTACTAATAATAGCAATGAATCTTTTTAAATTAAATATCTGAAAATATATATTCAGATGTATTAGCATATTTTAATTTTATATGATGTATAAATAATTACTCATCTACTTTAAAGTAAGATCTAACCATAATAAAAAAAGGGAAGGGGGAAAATAATTTTCAGGTTGCTAACATGAAATATTGAAAACATAGAGTACAGCACATTCTACTGTAACATATGCCCCTTGTTTCATTGTTAAAACAAACAATAATTCTTTGACACTATTACCTGCTCTTTAGGGGGATTTTCTCCCCCTTCGACTCTTACAGAGTCCATCTCACTCTCCAAGCTTTTATTTTTAACTTTCTGTACACAATGATGAACAATTTTAAGTAACAGGCTTTTACTGAAGCAATCTATAATTATATTTCTTTGTAAATATTTCATGGCCTGGAAAAGAATAAAATTATATTTAGCATTCTAATAGTGCAAATGTCTTTGCTAATACAGTCAATGCTTCATAACACAGGCTGATAATCTCGTTTGTTATCACATACTTTGGTTTATTATCCTCCTGGGGCATTTTAATATTTGTAGTAGGCACTCTTTAAGAAAACAACCAGAAGACTTAGTCACTTTTATTGTGTTTATACTTAAAAATAGTACATTTTCATTAAGAATATAGAAAATAATGAATACATTGTATTTTAGATTACCCGACTTGTATCTGTATGTGCCATGAACTATTAAATGTACATATACTTAATTAAGTGCATTTTAAAAATATAGGCATATGGGTTACATGCGTCTAGACTAATTGTGTTTTCTATCTCTTTCTAGTAATTTGTCTAGTGGGATTAGGCCTGGTGGTCTTCTTCTTCAGTTTTCTACTTTCAATATTTCGTTCCAAGTACCATGGCTATCCTTATAGGTAATATCATTATACTTATGTGATTGTTTATTCTATTAGTTAAAAATAAAAACTATTTAAAGTGGTTAATCTATATTTAAGGATTGATATAAAGTAGCTAACTCATTTGCCATGAGCACCTGCCATGTGTTCATCATAGATTATACAAAGAAGATAAAAGGTGTGGTAGCTGTTCTGAAGCAGAGTATAGTTTCATTTCAGGGATACCTATTTTATATATGAGTGTGTGAAGAGATTTGTATATATACATATGTGCGTACACATGTACATGTAACAAAATATATACACATATGTGCGTACACATGTACATGTAACAAAATAGGTTTTAAGTTTTGTGGAACTCATCAAAATTATTTTTTTCTTGGTTGATCTATTAAGATTTTGACTTCATTTGCAATTTTTTTCTCATATAATCTACCATTCGGCATCTAATAAAGTTTGCATCATCTTTTGATTTCTGCAAAGTTTTAGCTTTTTCAAATAAGAAAAGCCAATTTGAAAGGGAAAATTAAATGATAAAATCTCTAGTAACTAGAAGTTGTCATAATGAATATCTTGTAAGATTTTCCTCAATATACTGTGATGATTAGAGATGAGAAAATGCTGAAAATTCATTCTGAGACTACATTATTATGCTAAAGCACAATTGGTACGCCAGATTATACTTGGCCATTTTATGAATTAGGCATAGGTTCACTTCTTGAGCATATTCCTTCTTCATCTTCTTTTAAGGGAATAAATGTTCCACTTTCTCTTTCTCTGGGAAATCCTAATAGCTCATCCTTCTCTATGATGAAGTAAACTCATCCTTCTCTATGATGAAGTAAAGGCCCTATATTTCCTTTCTCAGAGATTTTGAAGACTCTTTCTGCTGAGTTAATATAAGCAGTAATATGTTGATAGAAAATAAAATCTCATCATACTTTATATCTTTTCCACATGTGAACTATGCAGTTATTTAAGAGAATTTTTCTACATGGATGATGGCAACAATATATGGCTTTATATGGGGGACAAAACTAATCCTACAACAAGGAGATCTGATTATGGGCTTATAATGGAAGAATAAGACTCTTCAACCCTGACTCTCTCTTTTCGTATTTGTATTTTTTTTTTTTTTAATCCAGGATGTCAAAAAACACTAAAAAAATTAATTCACTTCAATCTACAAGCACTTACAATATGTCAAAAAAAGATATCTATTTTTATAAAAGGTATATTATAGTAAGAGATGTTGTGAGATTCTTAAACCTTATGTAGTTGACAGTCAGGAAATGGAGAACGGTAAAGAGAAAATTATAGCTTTTCTTGTATATCAGAACACGTAATCATACCATAATATCATTTCCTATCTAGATTGTTCTCTGACATAGCAATATAATGAGTAGGGAAAATAGAGAAAATTAGTTTTTTTAGTTTCATTGAATAATGTTACATTTGACAGCACTATTTTTGTGATAATATGAAGAGTTTTCAAGTTTGTACTTACTTTTCCAAGGAGTAGTTGTCATTCAGTATAATACTTTTCCAGTACTCTAGTTCTTTACCAGGAGCGGCCATATAAATCAGCCAGGGAGCTTTTCAAAATATATATTCTAGGCCTCACCTTAAATATACTTACTAATCATTTTTGAACCAGAGTACATGCTTATTTTATTTATCAATGTGGCATTGAACTTCCTTACTGTGTAGCCAGCCCACTGCCTTGTCAAGGCCCCCACCAGGCTAAACGAGGAATGGGCTTGCCATCAGCTGGCCTCATGGAGCTGGAATGTAAATGAAATCTTTTATAAGTCAGAGATGGAAGCAATGTCCAAGAATGATTTGTGACTGAAATTTGATGTAGTAAGATGAAAACCCTGAGGATCTGCCAAGAAACAGAAATGAACAGAGCCTAGCAAAGGAGCTTGGGAAACCAATCGTGCTGAAAGAGTGGGATGTGGC